GTGAATTGTGGCAGGATGAACACTTAACTGCATCTTGGCCTTTGTGTTAAGAAATTTACTGTTATGCCTGGAAAAGTAGGGCTGATGCAGGACCTTATCAGCGCAAGTGGTCAGAGCTTAAGTAAGTCTAGGTGCCATTCAGGTGTAACCACATCGCGCTCTGACGCAAAAGACATGCTCCTGCCAGTGCAGTAGGTGCGCGTCAGGCTAACGAAAGACTGGAGGCGATCCACGTGTCAAATCCTTGCAAAACTCAAGTGAACTACTCGAGCAGGTGAATAACGGGGCGCAAGGAAGGATTTGCACAGCAATCTGACCCATTCACATATTTAGTAATCATTACGTGATTTTATCTCACTATAAATAAAGGCCCCTCTCCTGTTTGTGGGATTAGCTAATCTTTCTCTGTAATAGCTTATTTATTTTCTCTTTGTAATCACTTGTAAGTCAGATCGCTTTCTCAGTAAATTAATACAATATCAGTGGACGTAAGAGTCGCTTGTTGAAGCATCCGAACCACTTTAAATATCGTTCTCCATCTTTTATCCATTATCATACCCCCAATCGCATGTGTTCTCTGAGTCAGCTCAGCATTTCACACGTGTATTTAGTTAGTGTCAAAATCACGTGTCGACATTTACATTCTGTTTCTTTGGGGACGTAGCCAGAAATGAAATAAAAGAGGGTCAAAGTTGGAAGAACAATACAATTTTAAATTAAAATACACACAAATTGAAGAAAAAATAGGGCTTGCCAACAGAATAGGTGGGAGAAAACTGCGTTTGTGTGAATAAAGAACTAAAAATTTAGGAAAAATTTGAAACGTAAGTTGTTGAATCAATTATGAACAATAGAAGTAGAGAAAGAGAGGTTTACTTTTGACGGTCCAAAAAGAAAAAAAAAAATAGAGTTTAACTTATTTGACGGATTACAGTTTTTTTTGTAATTTACTTTTCATTTTGGGGTAAATTTGTAAAACTTAGTCCAAAAAATTTAAAAACTTAAGGAGGGTCACTTGACACCCCCTCCTCCGTCCCAGTGTTTGCCCATTTAAAAAGGAAGGTGATTTGTATCCCCCTCCTAATTGATGAGTATCCTCGCTTTTAAATATAGTTTTTTGTTTGGAAAAGGTTAGTCTTGATTAAAAATGATATTATAATTTTGAATTACACTCATACTTTATTTTTTTTTTTTATGTTTTAACTTCTAATGTTTAAATTTTCATAATCATTGAAACATTTTATTTTATTTCAAATATTTATTTGTTTGATGAAAATATAAAAAGTAATCAAACAACATGATGAATCTGAATCTGAAGAAGAAAAAGTAAGTCTCAAATTTGAAATTAGAAAATTGGGGAAAAAGGGGTGTAAATAAAAAACTTAATTAAGTTTAAGATTAGTGATAAAGGGTGCAAAATAAAAGCCTAACTAAGTTTGAAATTAGAGAAAATAAATCTAATTAAGTTTAAAGGGTTACTTTCGATACTAAATGTGGTTTAAAGAGATTTTTTTTTTTTTTTAATTATAAAAGAGGTGTATATAGAAATGAGAGATATTGATCTAAAAATCATGTCCCATTGGAAAAAAAAAACCCTCTTAATTAACCAACCACTTTTCCATGCTATAAATGGAGTAATCAATTGAGTCATCCAATAAATTTTGTAATGGGTAAATTACTAGTGTGACCATAATAAATAGAGTAGACGACATGTTCTCACCCAAAAATTAGCGAAAATCCAAGTTCCGTACTCTGGTTTCATTTATTCCATATTCCTACCCTTAATCTTTGGGTGGGAACATGTCCTTTAATAAATATAAAAAGTTTGTATATCAAGGAATCACTAGTACAAGTTGTTTTATCTTTCTCAACTTAAAAAGTGGTTCTAAGTTTCTCATCTCAAATAATATGATAACTTATTTCACATTATTATACATCACATATGACATATCCTCGATCATTTTATATAACAAATGAATATTTAAAATTTAATTTGGAAAGATAAAAGAAATATTTCCATATATAATCAATCTTACTGATTTTAGTTCCCAAAATATAAAAAGGTTTGTTTAAAAGATAAATTTAACCAAAAAATCACATGACTTAACCTAATTGTCTTTAATGAAAAATTGCTAAGGACAAAAATAATTGAAATGCGTTAGACTATTAGTATAACATTTATCATTTCCTTAAGGGTATAATTGTAAATAATAGGATTTTACGATTAGATTTGTACTGTAAATAAAACTTGCACATTTTGAGAAATTTTGAATTTGTGATTATTGAATTGGCTATATATATTAAAACTTTATCTTGTGTTGACATAAATTAAAATGCATAATAACAATTTCAAATCGATATAATTAGTGTTATCAATTCAGTAATATTATTAAGAGACGTGATTTTTAGCCCTCATCTATTATATTGATATCCCCTATAGTGAAATACACTTATCTTATATCTAAAAAATATCTTTGAACTCTATTTAGTATCGAAAATGCCCCTATCAACTTAACTGGTTTTTTCTTTACAAATTTTGGTAATATGTATATGAAGTATGATTCTTCATTAACTTAAAATCTGTTTTTTGATCCAACATAATTTATATAAAACAGATTAAAACAATAATATAAAGTTATGTGTAATGTAAAGTAAAATAGAATATGGATGTACGTATAACTTGTAATGTCTTTTTATTATTGTCAAAGAGGGGTCGTTCTGATACAGATATTGTGATAATGTTACCCCCAAAGGCAGCCGTTGAATTAACTTATCCCTAGCTAAATCCCACAGTGATTTCCAGCTTAAGGTACTTTTTTATTAAGGGAATCAATCACTTTATAAGCAGATAAAGTAATAAAATCTCAGATAATCCTCCTGAAGAACAGCCACAATCTCTGCAATAATGTGTCAATATAGCTAGCAAATTGATATATCTTTGTAGCTTATTTGTAACATATGTTGAAAGATCTGATTGCATTGCAGAACTTTAGACATTTGTTTATGTCATTATGCCTCCTTTTTGTATAAAACCCAAACAAATGAACACCGTTACAGTCTTTGATCTATAATGTTATTTAGATATGATTTTTCTGTTTAAAACCAGAACACCCCTCATTTTGATACTCTCTATTCACTTGGACTAGTGGACCTGAACCGCATGGGTAAATGCATTAACTCATTTAGCAAGCAAAAGCATTTTACCTTAAAGTTGTTCTCAAGAAAGATGTTGACTAAGGACTCAAAGTTGAAACCAACACATTCTTAAATTCGCTTGTCGGCGGCCTTAAGTAATTCTATCAGAGGGAGTGTTGCCAAGAGCAATACGGGCCTCTTTCTTGAACTAGAATCCTACAGGTAAGGTTAATATAATAAAATCAAGTTACGTGCAAGGCAACATCCACAAGCTTAATAGACAGTAAATTACCTGATGAGCGACTTGAATTAAGTCAAGACTTTCCAAAATTTCAGGAGGTAAGTGTTTCTGTCAAGGTTATTTTGTGGGGGATTTGAACTATACCAAGATGAGATATTAACGAACCATGCAAAGTTGAGACTTCGACAAGATTTCTGCAAACAATATGAGATTTCCACTTATGAGGCTTAGTCAATGATAGGTTTCGGTTTACTTTCAAAGATCTGGTTTCGAGCCCTCATGGGCATATGTAATGACCAAGCTATTTTTTCTGGCTTTCCAAGATTGCAGGTTGACAAAGGCTCCAGCTTCAATGAATGCAACATACACCTTTAGAGAGGAAACTCATGGAAGGGACACAGAATTTAGTAGGTTATAATGCCAAAATTAATATCTTTTTTAGACAGGTAAGATACTCTTTTGTTGTTTTCAGGATCAACCATTTTGCATAAACCTTAGGTTCTCAAAAGACATGCCAAATTTTCCTAAAGAGAATAAAAGAAAAAAACGAAATGGGAGCAAAGTATGGAAAAGAAGGAAATGGAAGGCCAAAAGTGATGCTAAGAACAAGAATGAGTGGTGGAAATGAAGAACTCAAGCAGCCTGCACTTAAGAGAGAATTGAAAAGCATTTGGAAAGTTGATTGAAATTGAGTCATAACTCTTAAAAAGATAATGTAAAACCAAGAAGATAATGCAAAGATAAGGTGTAATATTTTGATCTGGCAATTTTTCACTCAAAACGATTCTATATCATAGCAAGTTAAAAAAAACATCAAAATTCTTGAGTAGCTGAGTTAGATTTGTGACTGTCAAGCCCAATAGAGCCCTTATTTGTAATATCTTTGAAGAAAGTGAATTGTGGCAGGAACACTTAACTGCATCTTGCCTTTGTGTTAAGAAATTTACGGTTTGCCTGGAAAAGTAGGGCTGATGCAGGACCTTTCACGCAAGTGTCAGAGCTTAGTAGTCTAGGTGCCATTCAGGTGTAACCACATCGCGCTCTGACGCAAAAGACAGGCTCCTCCCAGTGCAGTAGGTAGGACCACCTTTTGAAACTATCTTGCTCCCCCTAATAAACTTATGGGTCATATCTATCTACTACTACTTACTTTATAATAATATCTAACCAACCCAAATATAAAAATACATCGTCTATTAATGAACTTAAATTTATCCGATGCACATGTATTTGGTCAATCAGAAAGCATAAATTCAACAAACGTATCATTTATATGTTTTTATATCTACCCTTTGTTGATTGATGTGTGTATTTCTTGCATTCAACGAGTGAAAACAACTTTTCTTTTCATTTATATATTTTACGTCAGTTTTTTAGATTGTATCCGAAAAGTATTTTTGAGAATATTTTATCATGTTTCAATGAAATATGGTTTTATAAAATTGATCGCATCTCTTATTTTTTGAGAACCAAAAAAATATTTAAATTATGTATCAAATATATGAAAATTTTCATTAATAGTTCCGAGGATGTAATTGCTAATTTTTAAGACTTGTGGAGCCCAAAAAATTACAATAATAACTACTTGACAATATTAGGAGACAGGAAAACAGTTGTAGGTTTTTGTAGTTAAGCTTTGGTCTAGCTCTTAGTCTCATCACTTCAGTGTCTCAGTATCCAAGAAAGTGAGCTAAATCACCAACCACAAAGCGACGACTGAACCACCGCCATCATGTCCACCTCACCTCATCTCTTCTACTTCACCGTCTTCTTCTTCATCTTCTTCTTCACTCACACCTCCGCCACTGACCACATTGTTGGCGCCAACAAAGGCTGGAACCCGGGCATCAACTACACTGACTGGGCTAATAACCAGACCTTCTATGTCACCGACCTCATTTGTACTCTCTCTCTCTCTCTCTCTCTCTCTTTTCTTTTTGCTTTTATTTGCTATGGATCTGTTGAAAGTTCTTGTTTTGTTTCTGGATATTTGGTTTCTTTTTTCTTTACCAGAGAAAAAACGAAACAGAAATTGGATATATTGTGTATGTGTTTGTGTTGGATCTGTTTAAAAATTCATTGTTTTTGGGTAATTATCCAAACCCCATTTGCCTTTTGTTTTCTCTGAGATGAAAGCTGCTCAAAAGATTTAATTTTTATACAGTGAAATGGCCAATTAGTTTGAACTTTAATGAACATTATTAATGTTTGTGGTTGTGGATGAGCTTGACAATAGTAGATCTCAAGAAAAAGAATTAGAAGTCTGTTAAGTTGCCATCAGCTAAAGTTCGAATACCCTCACATTTCAACTAGATAAAAGAAAAATGAAAAAAAAAATCCAAATTTCGTGCGAGGGTTTTTCATATTTCTTATATCTAGTTGAAATGTGGGGATATTCAAAGTTTAGATTTGACTCTGATATTATGTTAAGTTGCCGTCTCATGATGAAATTTTTAACCAGTTGTTGGTTCAGTGTTCTTGTAATCTTGTGAGTTTTTATTTTTTTTTTAAATCTGTTTTGCAACAGCATTTAGGTACCAAAAGACTCAATACAATGTGTTTATGGTGAACCAAAGTGGGTATGACAACTGCACCACAGAAGGGGCATTAGGCAATTGGAGCAGTGGTAAAGATTTCATAACTCTGAACAAATCCCAGAGGTACTATTTCATTTGTGGCAATGGTCAGTGCTTTAGTGGCATGAAAGTTTCTGTTTTTGTCCACCCTTTACCTTCACCACCATCATCAAAATCAGCTGCAGTTGCTGCTAATGCATCCTCAGAATCTGCAACTCCTCTCATTTTGCACAAGGGTTTAAGAGCTTTGGCTATTGCTGCAGTTCCATTCTGGATTGGATGGATTTAGTTAAGTTTTTTAAGAATCTACCCTTGAATTGTATTCCTTTTAGCTAAATGCCAGTGTATTATTATTGTCTGTCTATGATTTTAGATTTTTGGATATTTTATTATTTGGCTGAGTGAAGCTTCATTTCTGGATTTTGTTTAATTTAAATGCAGAGAAACTCTGATATGGAAGTGCATTTACTAACTTGAACCTGTCAAGCCCATAACTAGAATTTTAGAGCCCTATTTGTAACATCTTTCAAGAAATGTGACAGAAAAGATATGTTGTAATAGGAAGAACACTCATCTCAATCCTAGCCCTCTTATTCAGAAAATCAAAGAAATTTACACTTCATTAAAACTACTCTGTACTGACCAGGCTTCCTCCCATGTCAAGAAAATGGCGTACGTTTATAGAATTCTACTAGTGGTGTTACGATCTATTTCTCCATCTTTATCTAACCAACCACCTTTTTATTTTTTATTTTTTTATGATCGGGAGTGTCCTGACCATCTTGGCATACCTCAACTAATTCTTCGAGGCTTTAAAGTTAACAATCGGATAATTCTTCCGATGATCACCCTTATTATGGGTTGAGGTTGATCAAATTTAAGACCTCTTGAGTAATACATTCAAGAGTTTTAGTTAACCGTTCGTTCATCCAGTGGTGGTTTAAACTAACCACTTTCCATGCTATAAATGGAGTCAGTAGTTACCAATAATATATTGAGTGTCGAAAGTGAGGGTCGTTCTTGATACAGATATTGTGATAATGTTACCCCCAAAGGCAGCCGTTGAATTAACTTATCCCTAGCTAAATCCCACAGTGATTTCCAGCTTAAGGTACTTTTTTATTAAGGGAATCAATCACTTTATAAAGCAGATAAAAGTAATAAAATCTCAGATAATCCTCCTGAAGAACAGCCACAATCTCTGCAATAATGTGTCAATATAGCTAGCAAATTGATATATCTTTGTAGCTTATTTATGTAACACATGTATGATAAGATCTGATTGCATTGCAGAACTTTAGACATTTGTTTATGTCATTATGCTCTCCTTTTTGTATAAACACCAAACAAATGAACACCGTTACAGTCTTTGATCTTATAATGTTATTTAGATATGATTTTTCTGTTTAAGAACCAGAACACCCCTCATTTTGATACTCTCTATTCACAATATGGGATGTATCCTAGTACTTTAAACGGGGAATTGGACTAGTGGACCTGAACCGCATGGGTAAATGCATTAACTCATTTAGCAAGCAAAAGCATTTTACCTTAAAGTTGTTCTCAAGAAAGATGTTGACTAAGGACTCAAAGTTGAAACCAAACACATTCTTAATATTCGCTTGTCGGCGGCCTTAAGTAATTCTATCAGAGGGAGTGTTGCCAAGAGCAATATGGGGCCTCTTTCTTGAACTAGAATCCATACCAGTGAAGGTTAATATAATAAAATCAAGTTACGTGCAAGGCAACATCCACAAGCTTAATTAGACAGTAAATTACCTGATGAGCGACTTGGAATTAAGTCAAGACTTTCCAAAATTTCAAGGGAGGTAAGTGTTTCAATGTCAAGGTTATTTTGTGGGTGATTTCGAACTATACCAAGATGAGATATTAACGAACCATGCAAAGTTGGAGACTTCGACAAGATTTCTGCAAACAATATGAGATTTCCACTTATGAGGATTTAGCTGAATGGTTAGGTTTATGGTTTACTTTCATAAGATCTGGGTTTCATGCTCCTCATGGGCATATGTAATGACCAAAGCTATTTTTTCTGGCTTTCCAAAGATTACAGGTTGGACAAAGGCTCCAGCTTCAATGAATGCAACATACACCTTTAGGAGGAAACTCATGGGGAAGGGACAAGAAATTTTAGTAGGTTAATAATGCCAAAATTAATATCTTTTTTAGACAGGTAAGATACTTCTTTTGTTGTTTTTCAGGATCAACCATTTTTGCCATAAACCTTAGGGTTCTCAAAAGACATGCCAAATTTTTCCTAAAGAGAATAAAAGAAAAAAAACGAAATGGGAGCAAAGTACCTGGAAAAGAAGGAAATGGAAGGCCAAAAGTGATGCTAAGAACAAGAATGAAGTGGTGGAAATGAAGAACTCAAGCAGCCTGCACTTAAGAGAGAATTGAAAAAGCAATTTGGGAAAGTTGATTGAAGATTGAGTCATAACTCTTAAAAAAGATAATGTAAAACCAAGAAGATAATGCAAAGATCAAGGTGTGTAATATTTTGATCATGGCAATTTTTCACTCAAACTGATTCTATATCATAGCAAGTTAAAAAGAAACATCAAAATTCTTGAGTAGCTAGAGTTAGATTTGTGACTGTCAAGCCCAATAGAGCCCTTATTTGTAATATCTTTGAAGAAACGTGAATTGTGGCAGGAAGAACACTTAACTGCATCTTGGCCTTTGTGTTAAGAAATTTACTGTTATGCCTGGAAAAGTAGGGCTAATGCAGGACCTTGTCAACGCAAGTGATCAGAGCTTAAGTAAGTTCAGGTGCCGTTTAGGTGCAACCACGTCACGCTCTGACGCAAGAGGCGTGCTCCTGCCAGTGCAATAGGTGCGCGTCAGGCTAACGAAAGGTTGGAGGCTATCCACGTGTCCAATCCCTGCAAAACTTGAGTGAATTACTCGAGTAGGTGAATAACGGGATGCAAGGAAGGATTTGCACAGCAATCTGACCAATTCATAGATTTAGTAATCATTACGTGATTTCATCTCACTATAAATAGAGGGCTCCTCTCCTGTTTGTGGGATTAGCTAATCTTTCTCTGTAATAGCTTATTTATTTTCTGTTTGTAATCACTTGTAAGTTAGGTCGCTTTCTCAGTAAATTAATACAACATCAGTGGACATAAGAGTCGCTTGTTGAAGCATCCGAATCACTTTAAACATCGTTTTCCATCTTTTATCTATTATCATACCCCCAATAGCCTGTGTTCTCTGAGTTAGCTCAGCATTTCACACGTGTGTTTGGTTAGTATCAAAATCACGCATCAACATTTACATTATGTTTCTTTGGGGACGTAGTCAGAAATGAAATAAAAGGGGGTCAAAGTTGGAAGAACAATACAATTTTAAATTAAAATACACACAAATTGAAGAAAAAATAGGGCTTGTCAACAGAATAGGTGGGAGAAAATTGCGTTTGGGTGAATAAAGAATTAAAAATTTGAAACCTAAGTTGTTGAATCAATTATGAACAATAGAAGTAGAGAAAGAGAGGTTTACTTTTGACGGTCCAAAAAGAAAAAAAAAAAAAAAAAATGAGAGTTTAACTTATTTGACGGATTACAGTTTTTTTGTAATTTACTTTTCATTTTGGGGTAAATTTGTAAAACTCAGTCCAAAAATTTTAAAAACTTGAGGAGGGTCACTTGACACCCCCTCCTCCGTCCCAGTGTTTCCCCATTTAAAAAGGAAGGTGATCTGTATCCCCCTCCTAATTGATGAGTATCCTCACTTTTAAATATAGTTTTTTGTTTTGAAAAGGTTAGTCTTGATTAAAAATGATATTATAATTTTGAATTACACTCATACTTTATTTTTTTTTTTTATGTTTTAACTTCTAATGTTTAAATTTTCATAATCATTGAAACATTTTATTTTATTTCAAATATTTATTTGTTTGATGAAAATATAAAAAGTATTCAAACAACATGATGAATCTAAATCTGAAGAAGAAAAAGTAAGTCTCAAATTTTAAATTAGAAAATTGGGGAAAAAGAGGTGTAAATAAAAAACTTAATTAAGTTTAAGATTAGTGATAAAGGGTGCAAAATAAAAGCCTAATTAAGTTTGAAATTAGAGAAAATAAATCTAATTAAGTTTAAAAGGTTACTTTCGATACTAAATGTGGTTTAAAGAGTTTTTTTTTTTTTTTTTTTTTTTATAAAAGAGGTAGTTGAAGACCAAAAGATGCACGCAAATTACCCTAAACTTCCCATTGAAAAAAAAAAAAAAAAAAAACCCTCTTAATTAGCCAACCACTAATGCTATAAATGGAGTAATCAATGGAGTCATCCAATAAATTTTGTAATGGGTAAATTACTAGTGTGAGCATAATAAATAGAGTAAACGACATGTTCTCACCCAATAAAATGAGTGAAAATCCCAGTTCCCACCCCTGATTCCATTTATTTCAATTCCCACCCTTAATCTTTTCGGCAGGGACATGTCGCTTGCTCTAATAAACATAAAGAGTTTGCATATCAAATAATATGATAACTTACTTCGCATTATTATACATCACATATGATATATCCTCGATCATTTATATGACAAATGAATATTTAAAATTTATTTTGGAAAGATAAAAGAAATATTCCCATATATAATCAATATTACTAATTTTAGTTCCCAAAATATAAAAGGGTTTGTTTAAAAGATAAATTTAAACAAAAAATCACATGACTTAACGACTCCGTTTGATTGCCAATTGGGAATACTAATTTTAGTATTCCCAAAAAAGTTAAACAGTAAAATACCTAAAAACTTTGATTTTTGGGAATACTACTCCCAATATTATTCAACTTTTTTTAAACCCCTTAAATTTGATAATTTAATTAAATACCCCTAAATTTTTTTTTTAAAATTACAAAAACACCCCAGTAATTCATATTTACCAGATTCCGGCCATCACTGTCGGAAAATGGCCGGAATCTATTAGGATGGCGCACTATCGGCTGAATCTGGCCGGTAGTGCGCCGATCTAGCCTTTTCCGGTCAGATCCATGGTGGATCTGGTCCGAAAGGCCAGATCTAAGGCCAAAGATCTGGCTGTTGACGGCCAGATCTAAGCCGTAACGGTTTATAACGACGGCCAACAAACGGTCGTCGTTGACCATCAACGCGACCGTTTGTTGGTCGTCGTTGACGAGAAAAATACGACCAGATCCACCGTGGATCTGGCCGGCAAAGGCCATATCGGCGCACGACCGAAGATCCAGCCGGTCATGCTCCAATACGGTGAACCCGGCCACCCTCCGGTGGTGGTGGCCGCTGTCCGTATTTGACATGTGGTTGGGTGTTTTTTGTACTTTTAAGATTTTATTAGGGGGGTGTTTTGTAATAAACAAATATAGGGGGTATTTTAAATTTATAAATCCTACTCGTAATACCCCGCCCATTCAACTTTTTTTAACTTTTTTCAGAAAACTTTTCCCAAAAACACCCAATGTGAACCAAACGAAGCCGTTGGCTTCGTTTGGTTCACAATTGGGTGTTTTTGGAAAAGTTTTCTGAAAAATTGTCTTTAATGAAAAATTGTCTTTAATGAAAATTGCAAAGGACAAAAATTTATCATTCCTTAAAGGTATAATTAGTAAATAATTACATTTTACGGTTAGCTTTGTACTGTAAATAAAACTTGCACATTTTGAGAAATTTTGGCTCCGTTGGTTCACAATTTTGTGTTTTTGGAAAAGTTTTTTGAAAAAAGTTAAAAAAAAAGTTGAATTGGGCGGGTATTACGAGGTAGGATTTACAAATTATAAAATACCCCCTATGTTTGTTTTTTTACAAAACACCCCTTATAATAAAACATTAAAAGTTATAAAAACAACTCCCAATCCACCCTCAAATACGGACAGCCGGCCACCACCGCCGGAGGGTGGCCGGAGTCGCCGTAACAAAAACATTAAAAATATTTAGGGGTATTTAATTGAATTAACAAATTTAGGGGGTTTAAAAAATGTTGAATAAAGTTGAATAATATTGTGAGTTTTTGAGTATTTTACTGTTTAACTTTTTTGGGAATACTAAAAGTAGTATTCCCAAAATCCAACCAAACGAAGCCTTTGAATTTGTGATTATTGAATTGACTATATATGTTAAAACTCTATCTTGTGTTGACATAAATTAAAATGAATAATAACAATTTCAAATCGATATAATTAGTGGTATCAATTCAGTAATATTATTAAGGGACGTGATTTTTAACTCTCATCTATTATTTAATATCCCCTATAGTGAAATACACTTATTTTATATCTAAAAAATATCTTTAAACTCTAATTAGTACCGAAAATACCCCTATCAACTTAACTGGTTTTTTCTTTACAAATTTTGGTAATATGTATATGAAGTATGATTATTCATTAACTTAAAATCTGTTTTTTGATCCAACATAATTTATATAAAACAGATTAAAACAAAAATATAAAGTTTTGTTTAATGTAAAGTAAAATAGAATATGGATGTACGTATAACTTGTAATGTCTTTTTGGGAATTTTCTTTAAAGCTAAAATTGTTAAAAATAAATAAATTAAAATCTCTTTTTAAACCCTACTTAATACCAAAATTACCCTTTTAGACTTAAACATGTTTATTCTTTACCTTTATTTTCCTAATTTTTTGAGATTTAGATCATCTCCTATTTGATTGCTTCTAAGTTCGTAAAATTCCATTGAAATATGACAATTATAATATAAAATGGTAATATATATTCCCTTTTAAGTCTCCTAAACTCAAGATTTTCTCTTCTTAATTACTAAATAGATTTTCTATATTTTCTATACTTCTTCCATCAACTTACAATTGTTAAGTACAAAGTTATGTATCCGTAAAAGAACTCCAATCACTCCAAGAAACTCCTTGTAAGTGAGAAAATCAAGGATTTTTTTTTTTTCTTTCTAAAAAATTGGATTAGTTTATAACTTCAAGTTTAAGAAGAACAAACATATTAACTAAAAAATTTGAATACGATGGAGAAGTGAAAAACGATTATTTTTTAAGTTATGTATTTTTTTTTAAAAGCAATTTAAATGGATAAACTATGAGTTTTAAATGTTATAAAAAAATAAATATAAAGAAAATATAAAATTAAACTTGTTAAAATTAAAAAATGGGACTAATAATAATAAAAAAAAGTGAACTATCTCTGGGTGGCCAAGTGTTTTGATAGGAACTCTTGGATGAATTACTCAACAGATTATGAGTTCGAGTCTCTTTTCGGTTGCGAATAAAGGTAGTCATTGAAGCTCTTATCCGACTGATAGTTTCAAGGTCCCGAAAAATTAATTGAGATGAGTATAAGCTAGCCCAGACACCCTCGGTCATTAAAAAAAAAAAAAAAAAAATTGCTAAATGTCACTACCCATCAATGTTCTAAAAACCGGAACGGTAGCCGGCGACATATCCGGTCCGGTATCCTCTGAAAACCATTATTTTCAATCAAACTGGATTGAGCGGCAGTTGGACCGCCGGAATAATGCTGAATCGCGGTCCAGTCGCAACTCAATCCCGTCGAATTCTGGCATCATTCGAGGGAGAAAACACCACCATTAGACTTGACGACATCTCCATGACAAAACCCAGCCATTTTCAGTGGCTGTCGTCCAGCCTTTGTCGTCGCCGTCCACCTAAAGGACGCGACCGTCAGACTTCTTTCTTGATTCCGGTGAGTTCCAACGCCGATGGAACTCCCTAGTCGTCGGCACCTATACATCAAAAGCCCCATGATTCCAAGCTTCGATTGGCCATTGATCATCACTGTTGCCACCATCACTAGTCTCTTCGCGCGACAGGGGTGTTTTGGACATATTTCAAACCTTAAGGGAGCATTATATGGGTGTTTTTGATCAATTTCAAACCTTTAGGGACTAAATTTTACATAATACGGTCCAACCGACCTATCCAACCTGAAACCAAACCCTTGAACGGGTTATAGTCCGATCCGGTTTTCGGAACATTACTACCCATTATTAAATTACTCGGTTTTGCCAAGCATCCTCAAAGTTCTTGAAGCCCAGCTCAGCTCAGGTTGGTTTGGCCCAATAAAGGTCGAATGCATTATAGATATTTCATTTCCAAATAAAAAGATGTAAATTAGGTTCCTGTTGAAAGAATCTAGAATTAGATTATATTTTCCTTTTTAAGTCACAAGATTATACTATACCAATTTAGCAGTCAAAAGTGCACAAAAATACAATATACTTAAAACATTTTAACTCTTAATACTTTAATTATTGATTGATTGATAAACAGTTAGGTCCCCCGTGACTCAATGATTCATGGTTTGAATAGTGATGACTGATGAGTGCTGATTAGCTTTAGGCTAATCTGAAAGTGACTTTAATGGACCCTGAAACAGTGACCAGTCAACAATAATCAACCGAAAATGAAGGAAACAATCATCTTCTTTCAAAAATGGAATTGAAAAGATTTGGTGAACTGGAAACTACCTTAATAACTACATGTTTAATGGTGGACCTTATCTCTTCTCAGGGTTGTCATAGAACCCACGGCATCTCCATTAATGCCCTTTATTATTCAAACCAATTTTTACCCAGATTGGAATAACTACTGGTACATTTACATGCTTCTTAGGTTTTGTGTTGTAACTTATTTTGCCAAAAAAGTTTGATACTGAATGCTACTGATTTAGATGGCGTGCGATCTGCGTCTGACTCAGTTGCTTGTTGTATATTCTTAAACTTATATGATCCGTGTGTTGGACGATAATGGTTGTATTGCGATTTGTATGATATCGACTTGTCAGGAATAGAAATTTCCCATTGCAACAAAGAAACAAGTTTTGGTTTTCAAGTTGTTACTGCTTTTGTGAAACATGGACTGGAATTTACACCAAACAGAAGTAGTTGAAAGTTGAAACCCTATCTTAAACTTCAAGAAATTTTTTCTCAAGGTCAGCATAGAAAGTGCAAGAAAATTTTGCTAACATAAACACAGAAAGCTGTCAATATTTACATTTAGTTAAAGAGCAAAGAAAGCAAATAAAATCCATTCCTCTAATATACATTATTAATACATACAACAGCATAATCCTCACATAATTAACAATGTACAGTACAGATTTAGTCCCCAAATGTGTTTCCAGGTTACATTTTCTGATCACTGATTCTAGATTACACTCAACAAAAAACCCCATTAAGATTACTAAACAAAAAGAAGCAAGACCGAACAAGAACATGTACCAAAGTCTATCTAATCTGCATTCGCCTTCTGTTTTCTCCTCGCCTTGCTGAATAATTTTGAAGGAGGAGATGGAGAAAACTCAAATGGAAGTGGTGGAAGATCCATCTCCCCTTTCAAAATCTTCACAGCCTCAACAATATCAAGCCGCAACTCTGGTGTCTTCTGCAAGCAGGTGAGAGCTAAGTTGATACACAAAATTGCTTGCTCTTTACTATACTCATCTCTCAATTTTTCATCCACAAGTTCTAAAATGTTGCCAGTTTGAGCCAAGTGCCTGCACCAGCTTATCAAGTTTGCTTTTTCGAGCTTCATTGGTGAAGCAAGAACATGTAATGGCCTTCTACCAGAAACAATTACAAGGATCAATACTCCTAAGCTGTAAATATCAGCCTTCTCCATTAAATATCCGCAACCACCATACTCTGGTGCAACATAACACAGTGTTCCTCTCATGCTTGTTGTGCTACTCAATTCACGGCTGAAAAGATCTCCACTCCACATGTCACTTCCCATTGAATTTTTGTTCTTCTTCTTCCACCCTCTTCTGAAACTGAACTCCCCATTTGCATCACAATCATCTTGATTCTGTTCCCCAAATTTCTTTCGCCTATGGAACTGAAACCGCCTACCTAGATCAAAATGTGGAATCTTAAAACCCTTCTTCCACTTTGTTTCAAGCTTCCTCAGCTTACTACTCTTTTTACTGATCTCAGCCAAGTGCTCTTCTTTCCACCACTCTTGCATCTTCCTGTGCTTTTTCTTTCGGTTTTTCCTGCCTTTCAACTCCTTCTTCTCGAACCCCTTTTCCAATTTTTCAAAACCAAGCTCTTGTAAGTGTGATTCATGGACATCTTCTAAGTTGTCCAATTGGGTTGAACTATCCAATTCAATCTTCTCATGGGTGCTTTTTTTCTCTTCCTCCCAATCAGGATTTGCTGAAGGACAAATTTGGCTTCCTATCCACTCCATAACATAATCTTTGCTGCACAATTCACCGCTCCCATCTTGTCTCCACCACCAATCTTTCCCCCATTGTTTCATATTCGTCGCATCATCGCTAACAGAATTAGTGGTAAAACTCAACTCCTTGCTATGATCGATGCTACTAGGCTCATCCTCATACGGCACAAACTTACTAGACCAATCAACCCCCCCAATATCTATACTTGAAACCTCTTTCCCCTTTCCATTCCCAACCTTACTAAAATCACTTTCACTAGCAATACTAGCATTATAATTGAGAGAATTTAAGTTCAAAGCTCTGACATTGTAACATGCTCTACTTTTGTTTGAAGAAGAAGAAGCTTGTAAAGCAAGAGCAAAATCTACCTCATGAGCACTTTCAACTGGAGTACCTGTTGCCGGAGTCTCTGTAGTCAAATTCCCAGAAAGCTCTTGACTTTTCCATAAATCTGTACTCTTTCCCAAGTCTTGGCTAAACAAATCCACCCCAAATTCACCCTCCACTTTGATCCTTGACAACCCAAAATCAGAAACTTTTGCTCTAAAATCAGAATCAAGTAACACATTACTAGGCTTGATATCACCATGAATCACAGGTGGATCACACCCAAAATGCAAAAACTCTAATGCTTTAGCAACATCCATGATGATATCAAATCTTTGATTCCATTTCAGAACCAAATTATTACCTTCACTAAACAGCAACTCCTGCAAGCTCTTATTTGGCATGTACTCATAAACCAAGAACCGCTTATTCCTCTCCATACAGTACCCCAAAAGGGTAACCAAGAAAGGAGACCTTAACCCACCAAGAATCTGCAACTCATTCCGAAACTCTCTCTCAGTTTGTAAAGAGAAAGTGTCAAGTCTCTTGATGGCATACAACTTCCCATCTCTTGCAATGCCAAGAAACACAGTACCAGAACCACCTTTCCCAATGATATTACCCTCATCAAACGCATTAGTAGCATTTTTCAGCTCTTTGTAGGTGAACCTCTGGAGCTTCAAAGGAGCATTGGAGTCGAAAGGAATGGTTCTTGACCTGTTCACAAGAGAGTACCAAAGATGGTAAAGAAAGTAAAGGAATGTCAAGATAATAACTACAGAAGATGAAATAGTGAGGATGAAGAACAAAACTCTTGTTTTGCTAAGAAAGCTTGGTTTAGTTACAGGATTGGACGTTGGAGAAAGAAGTAGTAGTGATCTTGAAGGCATGCTTAGGCAATTTCTAGTTCTGGGAATAGGCTAGGAGGCTTTGTTTATTCTTTTGTTGGTGAAATCACAAGATTGATGAAGTTAACCACATTTTTTAATGTTAGCCATTTTTGTTTCTTGCTCTACTCTCCGTATCCAATGTTAGATTGCTTTACAGTTGGATAATCATAAAGGGTTGATAATGTTGTTTAGTAAGCAGAGTTTATATAGCGATTAAGAAATGAAGATAATGAAAAGAGAGAAAACAATAATGGAGGGTCCCAATGTGCTTTTGACTAAAGAGCAAAATATGCAGAGAAAGAAGAGAAAAAAGATAAAAAAAAAAAGAGAAAGAAAAAATTGCAGGGAGGAGGGAACATAGAGTAGTGGAATGGTGAGTGGTGAACAGTCACAACTTTCAACCAGATATTTATGTGTCTCTGAATTATCTGATTTTTCATGGACCATTTTTGTTTTTGTGTAGGTAGGAGGTGGTGTGTGAATGTGATCAAAATGAAAGAGTTAAATTTTCCTTTTGTTCAATCTCTGGTCACTTTCAGGATCTTATTTTTTTATTATAGTTTACATGGATATTCATTTTCTTTCTTTGCCTCAAGTTCAAGTCATGCATGTCAGCTCAAAGGATGTAACCTAGCAGCAGCAGTCACAAGTTAGAGGATACCTTTCTATCACTTCTAAACTACTTCACTTGTGCATTTTAAGGTCACCACTAAGATACCCTTCATTATTTAAAACAATAATATTATGTTTACAAAGATATCTTAATTTTGTAGGGAGATGGGAGATCTTTGTAAGTGTAGTATTATTCTATTAAAAAAAGTAATATTTCTCAAGATTTATTATTCATACCTTATCACTTTGGATACTTGATACGAAAATATATCATAATTAATGGGTTGTTTATATTTCAACGTCATATAATTATAAGATAATAAAATAAGTAAATTTTTTTATTTTTAATCAATCTAACGTATAAATAGTTACATCATTTGAGATACAAAGTTACAATCTCAACTTTGTATGTATAACATTATTTTTTTGGATTTTTAAAAACTAAAATACTATTCAAATTTTTTAGTTGTATTATAATATTTTTAATATTTGAAAATGTGTTTTATGTAAAATTTAAAAATTGTTTTTAAATTAAAAACGGTAGAAAACTGTGATAATTTTGCACTAGTTTGTACACTTGTATGTATTCGAAAACTGTTTTTGAAAACAATTCTACTTATTTTTTTACCAAATGCATGTTTATAAGATTTGTTGTATTCCTTGTTTTTCAGGAAAAAAAAAAGTATTTAAATTTTATATCAAACAGTATTGTCTCACTTGAACGATATTTTGTTAATTAAATGTAATAAATTAAGGGTTAAAAAGATATTTTGAATACACTGTTAGACATTTCTGGACAAACGGTTGAAAGTTTTAGCCAAACAATTGATCGTTTTGATGCTATTACAATTCTCAAATGTAAAAATGGTTTTTTGTTCTGTTTATCCAAAATATCAAAGTTATTTTCCAAAATTAAAGGGGATTTTTTTTTACACCAAACCTCAGAAGTGACAATGTAATAATTAATTATATTCCTTGCGGATAACATTTTCAAAAACACATGCAGATTATAAATCAGCAATTAATCGATGTCTTTATTTATGCATTTTGTGAAGTTAATAAACGTTGATTAATGTTTAATACACATTAAAAACTTTAGGACGTTTGTTCCAAAGCGAAACGGATTAAATAATATAGAATGAGATTTTATTTAATTATTATGAAGTTGTATTTATTGATTTTTATTCTGTATCTCAAATTATTAAGTGATAAATCATAGTTATCCTTGACCAAAAAAAAAAAAAAAAAAAAAAAAGAGAGAGTAGAGCCATATTGGAATGTCGCTTTATCACCATGTTCAATGTCCAAGTTTTGGGGCCATTGCCATGACCACTCTCTAGTTCATGCATGCTCGTGTGTTTTGTTTTTGTTTTCTTTGTTTCTTGCTCCTTGGTTTTGCTTTAATTTGTTTGATAGAGTTTTGGAAACCACAGGAATCACAAGCTAATATGCTTACCATCATCAATGAAATATATTGACTCTACTATATACTCAATGAAATATATTCATCGTATTCTAGATTTTTGTTCTTGAATACAAAGTATATTTCTGGAATGTTTTGAATACAAATCCATTATACAAACTCAGAACCATTTCTTTAAATTATTTATGAATTTTTCATACACTTTATAGGTTATAATAGAGAAATACTATTTGAAATTGTTTTTCACTACATTAAAATGTTTTTAACAGTGCTTAAAACATTTTCAAAATACACATCTTTAAGTGCTTGTTATTAGAATTGAGAGAACAAAAGAAGTAGTTAAAAAGAATCGAAATATGTTCGAGAGATAACTTTGAGAGGACAAAAGAGACAATTAAAGAAAGTCGGAATATACATGATATATTCTTGTTCCATATTCACATGTCAACACTTGTCAAAGGTAATCATCTTTATATTTCAAAAAGTGTTTGTGTTTTTTTAATCTATCTTAATTGATCTTTTTAATCATATTTTATAATATAATCTCCAATTTGAAAATTAACATGGTTCTTAATATTAAATTCTAAAAGGTAGCGTCTATTAGTTAGTCCCAATAATCCTTATATGAATTATGTTCTAATATCCCATCATCCTAAAAGAAAAATAGATGGTTTTATTACTGTTCCAAAAAAATTATTACAAAACTAAGAAATTAAATGTTACCAATTTCAACTAAACTTAAAATCCAAATAAATATATTCCTATTATAGTACTCTATAATTTAAACACAAACCATACTATATCATATGAATAAAGAACAAAAAAAAAGTGGTTATTTTATAGGTGGAATGCTGCTATATTGAGGATAGATATAGTGTGCAGTCCATCCTTATTTGATTTGGTGTGTTTAGACGAGAGTGAACATTAGAACATGAATGATAGAGGATGTGGGACATGTCCACCAAATTGCAGTATTCAGATTTCACAAAATATTCTCCCCTTTGGACTGCTTTCTCATTATTTGTCTTCTGTTTTCNGTTTTTTTGTTTTCTTTGTTTCTTGCTCCTTGGTTTTGCTTTAATTTGTTTGATAGAGTTTTGGAAACCACAGGAATCACAAGCTAATATGCTTACCATCATCAATGAAATATATTGACTCTACTATATACTCAATGAAATATATTCATCGTATTCTAGATTTTTGTTCTTGAATACAAAGTATATTTCTGGAATGTTTTGAATACAAATCCATTATACAAACTCAGAACCATTTCTTTAAATTATTTATGAATTTTTCATACACTTTATAGGTTATAATAGAGAAATACTATTTGAAATTGTTTTTCACTACATTAACATGTTTTTAACAATGCCTAAAACATTTTCAAAATACACATCTTTAAGTGCTTCTTGTTAGAATTGAGAAGGCAAGAGAGTAATTAAAAAGAGTCGGACTATGTTCGAAAGATATTTTTGAAAAGACAAAAGAGACAACTGAAGAGAGTCGGAATATACATGAGAGATAAATTTGAAAGAGGACATAATTGTATTCAATAGGAATGAGAAAAATGTCGCATATTCTCATTCCATATTCACATGTCAACATTTGTCAAAGGTAATTATCTTTATATTTCAAAAAGTCTTTGTGTTTTTTTAATCTATCTTAATTGATCTTTTTAATCATATTTTATAATATAATCTCCAATTTGAAAATTAACATGGTTCTTAATATTAAATTCTAAAAGGTAGCCTCTATTAGTTAGACCCAATAATCCTTATATGAATTATGTTAAAATATCCCATCATCCTAAAAGAAAAATAGATGGTTTTATTAATGTTCCAAAAAAATTATTACAAAACTAAGAAATTAAATGTTACCAATTTCAACTAAACTTAAAATCCAAATAAATATATTCCTATTATAGTACTCTATAATTTAAACACAAACCATACTATATCATATGAATAAAGAACAAAAAAAAAGTGGTTATTTTATAGGTGGAATGCTGCTATATTGAGGATAGATATAGTGTGCAGTCCATCCTTATTTGATTTGGTGTGTTTAGACGAGAGTGAACATTAGAACATGAATGATAGAGGGTGTGGGACATGTCCACCAAATTGCAGTATTGAGATTTCACAAAATATTCTCCCCTTTGGACTGCTTTCTCATTATTTGTCTTCTGTTTTCTGATCCTTTTTTTTTTTCTCTCTGTTCTTTTCACTCTTGGTTGCTGCATGTGCCTGCATATTTCTGTCATTCTTCATGTGTTGTATTTTTAAACAATCTGAACAAGAAGACGATAAGAGCCTGTTTGATTTTGATTTTGATTTTGATTTTTATTAAAAAGATACTTTAGTATCATTATCTATCTCAACTGTCCTATCAATTTAAACTATTCAAATAAAGATAATATAATCATTCTTTTTAATATATGTTTAAGAGACTTGAAACAAATTATATATAAACAACTATTTTATGAGATTATGATTTTAGTTCTTTGCCGAAAACTCCTTCTTTATAACTATCACTGGGTGGCCTGATGGTAAAAAAATAATGAAAGATATATGATAAATGACATCTCATCCAAATTTTCATTTCAAACTTTGATCGAGTAGAAAGAAAGAACGAGGTGAGAGAATTATTTATAAACAAAGGAATTCACAGGTTTTAGGCAGAATTTGAATTGTTTGCCTGCCATGATCACTGTGATTGAATTATTGCAAGGCTTGAAAGTGATTCTATTTTTGTTTTTTAATTGCTTGAATTCTTCTTTCTACATATTCCTTTTCCTACCGCATATACTTGTCTTATTTTTTTGTTGGAATTCATTGATTCTCTCCTCATATTTTTGCAATAAAATTTCTTATGGTATATGAATTTCAATTACGTACTATTATGGGATTGACCTCGTAAACCTTTTTATATAACTTTATTCTATTCTCATATTTACTCAACCAATTTATATTTCAAATCCTATTCATACTTAGTAATAAAATATAATTTTATTTCACTTTAAAATAACATACTTCAAGTCGGATGTTGTAGATTTTGAATGTGATATTTTTTTTTTTTATGAAGGATGTGGGCCAATGTGCATGTATTTCAATTACTTTTAAGACCCTGA